AAAAAAAAAAAAAAAAAAAAAGAAAAAAAAAAGAAAAAAAAGAAACTACTTTACTGCACTGAAACAGTCAATGCTGATAACAGACATGCTTAGGCTTGAAACTTACATGATCAGAGCGTTTCGCTCCAAACAGTKGCGTAGCCAAACAAATTCACTGTAACGCCGCCTCACACAGGAAGTCTTCTTACGGAAACACATACTRTTAGTCTGCAAAGACAAATAAGACTTTAGTCATTATACAAACAAATGTATTCAAAAAAAACAGAACTCACATGCAAGCAGATCTCATAGTCAACATGTGTGTGCCATAGATCATCCGCATGAAGCCTTGGATCTCGAACACAAATGCTGACAAATTCCTAGAAAATTCAAACACAAAAGTAAACTGGAGCTCGGTTATACAACAGATCAACAACTATTAAACAGGATAAGCATTCTTAATACTTACAGTTGAGAGATTATTCAGAATATTGTCCATTTTGGTACAAAGTCTGAGAAAGCAGCAAGAACAGGTTTTATTGAACAAAAGGTTTTGCAATGTTGCCCAAAAAAATGTGACTTGTTTACTTAGTTATCTACAGAATATAAAGACAGCATGTGAATGCATTGATTGGGGGCATTTCTGAAAACCTAATGCCAAGATTGAGGACAATCTGTTCTGTGCAACAATGTTTTACTGGTATAATACCCAACAGCATAAACAAGGAGCTGATCTGATATAATACTGATCAAAAGGGCAGAGAGTTAAGCTTGTGGGGGGGATTAACRCTTCACAAGTGAGTTTTTGTTTACTACTGACCAAACTAATTAATGTTACTTTAAAAAAAGAAACTAAGAATTTCTTATTGAAACAAATTTGAATATTACGCAAGTTCAAAACAAAATGTCCCTCACAAGACAGCAAGGACATCTGCAGGACCATGTGTCCCTTCACAACAAATGAGATATGATTTACTACTTAAGCTGAACTGATCGAATGAGAGCGAACAACGTTCCTCCATTGTCTGTGTGTAGCTATAATTGACCTCTTGGACCAAGATGTTCTGTGATGGTGTGACTGATCCTCTTAACTGTTGTGTTCAGGTTCAGCTTCACACAAAACACATGTGCTGTTTTAGAGAAATATCAACTTTTATCCCTGTGACTGCTTTGGGTCAGTGGTGAGGTCACAAGACTTTAGATTAAGTCTCACTCATGTCAATTCACCTTATTTTATTATTATTTTTTGACGCTGAAAGTTAAAAGGACAGATTGCAGAAACTATATTAAAAATGTTCCACAACGGGCATTAAATATTAAGAAATGTAAGCATGTCACAAACAAAACAAAGGGGTGCCTATATTCTGATGTTCGAAACTTTGTTTTAAATAGATTTTACAAAACTGTAAATGGAATAGAAGCAATATTTTTATATCCTACCTTTTTTTCTCTTCACTTTCAGAAACTTACTCCAGTGTTTGTGAGCGACCCAGGGTCTGGCTCAAAGCTCAGCCCTGCTAATACCAAACTCAGTGGGTTCTCCTTTTCTGGCCCACTGCTGACAAAAATCAACAAAACTCCACTTAAAACGTGTCAAATTCTTCTTTCTTCATGTTTGAATTGTCAGTCGTAACCAAAACAGCCCAAAAAAAACTCTGAGCAGCTTGTTGGATGAACCCTGAAAGCGCACCTGTCCGCTTCTTTAATCATTTAGTTCAAATGGTCTCAGCTGGTGGGCGGGGCCAAATAAATGACGCTGTGGGGAAATAAATCTTCTGATTGGTCGAACGACGTGGTACAATTTTTTTTGCTTTTATTTTCTTTATGAAAGTCGCAGGTAGAATCTATACAAGCTATGATTTAAATAATATTAGCCTAAAATATAAAATAATAAATAAATAGCTTAAAGGTCAAGACATTTCTTTTTCACTGCTATTTAATTAGGATCCACAAATAATGTTTGAGGTTAGTAAGAGAAATTAAACCTGTCCATCTCATTAATACAAAATCAAATGTGAAAATATTTAATAAATTTCATTTGAGAAATAAACTCGTTTGTTACCTCAGTTTGTCTAAAACATTTGTTGTTCCCAATCTGCTTATAAAATGTAGTGAATACCTAAACCAGGGGTGCCCAAACATTTTCCCTAAGAGGGCCAAAATTAAAACCCATCTGAGGGCTGCGGGCCAAAYGTAATAATATCAGAAATGCAAATACTTAAGTTGTTTTAKTTTTTATCATTAAGCTATCAGCCGGTGTGGTTGCCCACATTCTTTAGTTTTTTTTTTTCAGCCCATAGACATGGAGAAAATTCAACGTATGCTCAGGCAGCAAATGCTCATGGGACTTTTCATATTTTAAAATTTGAGTATATATGGTCTTATAAAAGTGTGAAAATCTAGATATGGACTTAAATCTGACCTAAATGTCTCTTGTGGTTACTTGTTATTTATATTTAATCTTAACATAATTACAACCTAGTAAACAGGACAATTGTTGGTGGGCTAAATGAAATGGCTCAGCGGGCCAAAATTGGCCCGCGGGCCCCACTTTGGGCACCTCTGATCTAAACCAAACACAAGAATTTTTTATTTTTTTTTGTGCACAACTGGAGAAGTTATGGAGAATTACAAACTGTTATGGTGAAAATGTTCCAGATTCACCTCTGGATGATGTCACTGACAGGTAATCACCGGGGTGGGAAAATTCAAAAAGTGGACATATCTGTCACATAGGCAAATGGGAGTATAAGAACATAAATGATCCAAGTCTTTTAAATGACTGATGGGAACAGTTGCACACAAAATTGTCATAAACTGCTCTTTAAACAAAACACATCCGTAAGATCCAGCTCAGTTAAAAAAACCATATTCCATCTCTAGCAGTTCTATAGTCAGTTTTTTTGTCAGAGCTTTTTATTTATTTACTTGCAGTAAGAATTTGTCAGCTGCCAAATGCATTTAGGAGTCACGAGGAGAAAAGTCAAATGCTAAAGTGCTATTACAATAGTTTACCTTTTGTTTTCTCYATGTAGCTCCATCTTGTGTTCAAACTGTAAATAAAAGCCTAAAGAGGTGACTGAGTTACACTGATCAGTGATCAGACATGATTTAAGAAATGGAGAAAATMATTTGGTTTTCTTTTCCTTCATTTTTCTCCAGTATCACTTTAAAGAATGTTTTCTGTAATTCTCCACTTTCTCAGCATAACTGAACCATTTTTTTTAAAAATTTCCTCAACATTTCACAATAAAAAAATGGAAATAAACCATTTTGAGATTAGCTTTATTGGAAAGTTATCCAAGGGATTTTCATAGCAACAATAACCTCTACAATGTGTCAGAAATGCCATCCAAACTTTGACAGTTGTTCAGTTATACATCTGCTAGTAACTTTACAAAATCAATAGAAAACGATCTGCAACTTCGTTTTGAAAGTGAAAACTTTTAAAGGCTTGCAGAGTACCTAGACAAACATTAAGACCTAACTATTTTTCTTGTCTAATTTTTGCATACACGTGTCTTTGGAGCCATATAAAATCAATTTAAGTTGCAAAACTTAAATGTAAAACTTTTATTTGACCCTGAAATTACAAACAGTAAACTAAATCCTCTTAAAGAACACCTGTCAGCACTTATAGGAAAAAAAAAACTTTTGTGAAGCCAAACGCTTAACATATTCCAGTAACAACTTACAATTGAAAYATGTAGGAGTGCAGACAGATTAATTAAAAAAAAAAGAAGAAATCATGCTTGGACAGCAGATAATTTCTGAAAATACATCAAAAAACACATCTGATATATGTACAGGAACAAATCCCTCCTCATACAATGCAAAGTGTTGCTGAACAGTTTCAAAAACATCTAAAGGTACTAGCTAAAGCTAAAATGCAGGCCAGAGGGCAGAGGAGGTGAAAGGAACAGCAAGAATTACTAGGCTTCATCCTCTGGACAGGAATGCCACGTCAGTCGCTCCTCATAGAAAGATATGACCACCTGAGGGCAGCGAGTGTTGGCCTCGCGGGCTGGGACCAAGTCTGCTTCATCTGAGTCTTTCCTGAAAAAGAAACCAAAAAATAATAATTGAGGTGATGGGAAGCATTAACAAATGACAGATATTCCGCCTCACAGCAAATTACAATCTTCATCGAAAGAGCTTCAGCTTTGATATCATAACGGGTCAAGCAGCCCAACCCGATWGGCCCACAGCTCTCAGGTTTACAGAAACCGGGGTGAACTTGGGCCACAAGGACTAATGGAAAAATGCCTTGTGAGACAGATGAGGAGTATAGACTAAAAAAAACTGTCWCAAATGAGTGATGAAAATTAAGATTTAACGGCAAAACAATAAGTCACAACTTGGTGTTTGAGAGCCAGAAGAACTCACATGAAGTTTATAACACACAAAATTGAAAGCCCAGTTATGCTAATCAGTGGAGAAAACAAATATWAAACCAAACTGAAGAGGCAGAAGTTTAAGATTTTGATAATGTTCCATTTATGATATAAAAACGGGTAACATTAATTCAAATGCAGATGCAAGTATAAAACTTTATGCTTGACCTAGCCTGGCTCTTGCYTTCCTACGCAGYTCCGCTCAATTCTAGTTTCCCTTCACTGCTCCATCTGGGACTTCTCCCATTGAGATGGATTTCRCTGGCAGWTTTTTAGCCGGGCCAATCAGAGAACAGAACGTYAAATTTCTGCGCAGWGTCWGCTTGTAGTTTATTTTACCWGGGCCAATCAGCAAACAGAAGGCGGAGTTTTGAACGACGTYGATGTTCTGYRCAGTGTCTGCTAGTTAKTTTAGCATACRGCAGTGGAGGAAGTGAATGAMGCCAGTCCGTGTTGAYAAGGCTTCCAAATTAAAWTAAATYTGTCTGACAAAGCAGCAGCTCTCATTTACAGTYGTCTCGTTCAGCTCGGTRTATTTCTCCTCTCAGTAGGGTTGTTTACAGCACACGCGATTTCTGGTTAGCTTCTTAGCTTAGCCTCCTTCACAGCGACAACATACACATGCTTCAGCAGAGGCCACGCCCCCTGTAAGAAACAATTCTCTATGCAGCAAGTCCAGACCCTTGTACGAAGCAAAGKGAAGGACAGGGGTCTGGTTTTAACCAGGCWATGYTTGACCCRAACAAAAGTATACATTTAATACTCACCATTTCATCAGAAACATCAACTCCCCACTACTGTCTGTTGCACCAATGATTCGTTCTGGGTCAAGGTTCCGAGCAAAGCCTCGTGGTTTCCCTGACTACACATAAAGATAACAAAAACATGAACACTCATCAATTTTCTCACAATTGATTTTCCCTAATGACAAAACAACAACAACAACAATAATAATAACAATAATAATAATAATAACAAAAACATATATATTAAAGGTTGACGACAAGTCCTTGAAAATTTATTTAAAACTCAACAATAAGCTGTGTCAGGTACTGACAATTTAAAACATAGGGGGACTTCCTAAGAAAAGGCTAGAGAGGCACAGTATATTTATTTATCATCTTACCACATCTTGCTTCTTGGGTTCTGACGATGTCTCGTCTGTTGATGCCTTTCTCTTAACAGCAGCAGGTTTCTCCTTGATGTCCTTCTGCGAATCCAGAAAGGCTTGAATCAATTCAGGGCAGTCTAGGTTCTCCTCAGGCTCCCAGGTGTTGTCAGCCCTAAGTGAGGAAAATTAAAATGGCACACAACCAAATCTCTCAGTATGAATATTTTTTTCGGACATTATTATTATTATTATTAAGACTGCCAGCTTCATGTTACTACAAGTGAAAACAAAAATGTGGCACAAACTTAAGCCAGGGAAGCACTAGTCTCAGACAGAAGAACAGAGAACATCAGGTAACTCACTCTGTAAATCCTTTCCATTTCAGGAAGAACTCCACTTTTCCATTGACCAGCCGCTGATCCAGCACTTTTTCAACAACAAATTCTTCAGGTTCCTCTTGTGTCTGGCCGTCTTTCTTGCCTTTGGGGTTCTGTTTTTTGCCCATTTTGTTCTCTTAAAAAAAAAAAAACAATTAGGTAGAAAAAGGTAACGTGCTTCACGTTTACAACAACCACGCTAATATCCTTTTCCTCCGGAGATGCTAAAGCTAACGCTAGTAAAGAAAACCTCAACTCAGTCATTGTTGACGTAATGTAATAAAGGCCTATTAAATCACACAGACAAAAACATTCGAACTGTAATTTATTATTTTTTATTAACTCAGAGTTACTACATTTAAGGCCAGCAAACACCGTCACAACGTAACAAAGTAAGCTAAAAYGCTAACAAGGCCGGCTTAAAGTTTCCCTCATTTTCTTGCGCTACATGTAAGGCACGCTTGTGGTTCGAAAAACAGCGCAATTTCACTTAATAATACACTTGGCAATATAAAAATTAGCCAGCTAGTGCAAATATAGAAAAAAATAACCACTACGAATGTAGCTGCCTGAACCTATACAGTAGTACTCAAACAATAGAAGCTAATGCTGCTGCTGTGAGAACGAATACTCAAACTGCCTTGGTATGCCACACGAACATGAAAATTAAGTTGATGTTCACTCATTTTTAGATTATTTGGCTTTAGAAGATAGTTCACCGAAGCAAAAAAAAAAAAAAGTGATTAGAGATAGATAAAAGTAAGAAAAACAAGCAGTTATCGCATGCGTACATACCTTGAAACAGCGCGGTAAACTTCACGTATTTGCAATAACCACGCCGCCCGCCACTCAAGATCCTTTTTTGTTTTCCTGCGGCGGGGAGGCTGGGCTAAAGCCAAATCAATGTACGGTAGCCCGTAAGGAAACGCAAAGACGGTCAAAACYATCACAAGAACATGGGCCTGATGTATCAGGAGGCCCCTGTTTTACAGGCCTTGATCAAAATAACGTTTTAAATCACCAACTATAAAACACAGAAGCCCCATAAAAAGAGATAATGGCTAAAAGTAAAACACTGAATGTACTTTATAAAAACTTAATTTGCAAGACGTAAAATACCAAAACAAACAAAACATTGTAGAAAAAAGTTACAGTTCATTGTCTTTCTTTTGGCCAACGTCATTGTTAAAATCTTGAAAGGTAGAAGAGCTTATAACAGTTTAATATAATAGTTGTAATAGCTTTTTTGAAAGTTTTTTTAAGCAATACAAGTTTCTGCCAGTTTACTTTGTTTTATCAATCTGACACTCCAGGGACAGATTAGATATGATTTCACGTTTGTCTCGTCTCTTCTTTTTGAATCTTGCTAATAAAATAGATGCAATAATGAAATCTAATTTGATCTTTCACCTCTTGTTCTTACAGCTAGGCTTTATACTGAAAACATATTAGCTTATAAATGCACAGGTGATATTATTCTGAAAAATTTGAACACATTCACCATAAAGAATGTGATTTCTTCTGTAGGTAGTCTGTTCTAACTTGGGCTGTTTTTTTTCAACTTACACATCTTTAAACACTTTAGTATCATGTAAATGTTGCYTTTGTGAACTACCATAACTGCTTATGTTTTGAGCAAACATTTAAAAATGCCATTTCAGAAGCTTAATACATGATTTGAACAGATCTATTTTTTAAAAATTTATTTGTCATAAAATTTGGTGGTTAAAAAAACACACAGATTAAGTTTCAGCTCGTTTCTTGATTTTTTTAAGTTATACGGGATCTTTTGATAAATTGGTATCAAGAAAGTAATTAAATTGTGATTCATTCATAACCGCACAGTGAATAGAGGTAAATGTAACTTGAATATTTGCAGGTACACTATCACCAATGAGGTTTTTTAAATAGTTTAACAAAAACAAGACAATTATATATTTGTTTATTATAGAAATCAAATTTATTCAAAATTATAACATGAACAATCACCCTTCAATCAAGCAAATGTGACTTATTAAAAAATAGGATGAAAAAGCAAACTTTTGACCAAACCTGAACAACAAAAAGAAAATATTAGGTCACTATGAACTACCTCACACACTCAAATTATTTCAGACACTCAGCAAAGCAGCGTAGCAATGGATTACACAACCTCTCACACATCAATCTCTGATCATCTCGAACATATAAATAAGCAACACTCAGATTAAAGAGTTGTACAGCAAAGGAAACGTTAAAAAGAAGCAAGTGCAATTAAAGGGATAGTTCAAACATAACTTCAGAGTGAGTTTGTGTTGAGAACATTTATGAGTCCATGTCTTACCAGCAGCAGGTGTGTTGTGTCAGTTTGGGGAGGAAGGTGGGATTTCTGACAGATGAGACGAAAAATCGATGCACGGAAGAGTAAAAATTCTAAAGTTTTGAACAAATACAGCAACACAAACCTTCAAACGATTGTCATAACAGTACGAGTGAGCTGTAAATGCTATTTGTTTCCTCTGAGAGGTACACACACTGGATCTGTTCGACACAGTCCAGCTTACARCACTTTTAGTTCATCCAGGTAAATCTATACAAGAATGGTTGTGKAAAAATATGCTGTTGAAGTACCGAACACAACCTCACCGGGGAAACAAACTTCTCCGAGAAGTTAAACACGAGCTGAAAAAAAATTACTAGAAATTTCAACAAGTCATAAAAATCTCAATTTGATCAAAAAGTACAAAGTATGTTTAAAAAAAAGGTTAAGTCAATTTGTGTTTCGAAGATTAGCAATCTCACTCATTTTAACCATCAGCAGTGTTCCCATTGATTTCTGATGAACTCTGCAATTCACCCACCCCAAAAAACCAAAAAACCAAAATACACATACAGCCCTTCCAACCAGCTGTAACTGCAGTTTTTGGTAGTTTTTGTCAACCAAAAGTCACATTTACGAAGACTTTCAGGTGAGAACAATAGCTTGTTTAAATCTTGCCAGAACAAAAACTGAAGTGTGAGGTAGAATGCAATCACACGAAAACTCAATACATGAAAAGATTTGTTAAATCGTGCTCAAAACAATCRATGTTAATTTAAAACCTGCAACGGTAAACTTTATTTTTTTTCTTATGGAATTTATCTTTTGATCCAAAACAACAAAAAACTAATTAAGGCTTCTTCATTTTAATCATTGGTATTCTGTGTGTCATCAAGACAACTATGTGACAGTGTTTTTTAAATTTATTTATTTCAACAACAAAACTTGCTCTTCAATATCTTAAACCTCACTGTAAACAAAAGATATGAGATTTAAGCTTTAAATCACTTAGACTTAACACTTCCATTTAGAAAAAAAGCGGTCCTTGAAGGTCTCACAATACAAATGTGCGCTCCAAGAACCTTGGAAAGCACAATAAATACAATCTTTCACCTCCTACTTCTACTGAAAAAGTGTAAAAAATAAAAAAAGGCCAAACTAAAAGCAAACAAGAACAGCCCCACCACTTATTTCTCTATCCAGTAACTGTCACACCTTATAACAATTTTATTTAAGTCTTAACAGGCACAAAGACAGACCAATACGGTTTCCAGCGGCTGAACTGTTCCCTTAAACCCTGCGAGTCTCACTCATCTTTAAGAAGCACAGAAAGTCCAGTGTGTAAGCTACAAATTTCTCAATATTTGCAGATTTTTGCATTTCATTTGTGTTCAGAGTGTCTTTTGCAGCTTCTGACAATTTAAGCACAAAACAGTAGTGAAACCACACTTTTCCAAAAGAAAAATCCCCAAACCAGAGTCAGTTGAGTTCAGTAAGAAAAAACAAACCCTGAGAGTTTAAGTCTCAGCAGAAAATAAAGCATCACTGCTTTTTTCCCTTCTTCCTCTTGTCTGTTTTGTTGCCTGCTGATGCAGAGACAGGGCGTCTTATGGGCTGAATTACAACCCTTCCGTTAGCCCCGCACTGCAGGGTAAACCTCTCCGGGCTCAGGGGCAGTCCAGAACCATCTCTCAGCCGAGCCAGGACGTCTCTAGTCAGCTGCCTGATCTGGTGGCCGACGGCGCCCATCGTCTTCGCCGTGAGCTGCTTCTCTCTCAGCAGTCTGTCCCTTTGAGCCTGCAACCGTTCCACCTCCTCCTGGAGTCCCGTGATGGCGTCTAGCTTGCGCTTGCGGCAGTTTTGCGCCGCCAGCTTGTTCTTGCCGCGCCGGCGGATGTCCCGAAGCAGGGTCACCTGTGCGGGGGTGAAGCCGTGACCGTCGAGGATCTCCATGAACTCTTCCACGGGCATGTTGACGATCTGCAGCACGGAGAACGGGATGTACATGGCCCGGGCGCGCAGCTCGTCACGACTCAGCTCCCGTTCTTCCAGCTGTGAGCCGTCGTCGTCATCATCGCTGAAAGCCTCTGTTTTCTGGGGCAGTTTTAAAGAAGGCTTGTTGAGGAAAGCAGGAGATGAGTAGCTGTGGTCATGCCACACATTCTCACTCAGATCAACAGGTGGCCACACTGTGGTGTGGTCCATCATGCCTTTTGAGGGTAAGGAATCCACATCGCTGCTGTAGCCTGTGGCTCCTCCTTCATCCTCACAGTACAAACTCGATGATGATGACATCTCTGAAGAGCCTGAAGGCATAAGGAATAAATGATCGTACAACTTTTATATTGTTTATTATCCACAAAAATACACGTCTAAGTAGGGCTGGGCGATATGCCCCCCCCCAAAAAAAAAAAAAAAAATCTCCGATTTTTTTCCAACCCAAATTCGATTTTGCTTCCCACTTAATGGAGTGCCTCTGTTTCAGGTGTTGAAACAAATCTGTTGAACTCCTGCTTTTTTGTAGCAAGAGCCTTCAAACAGATTTTGCAGTGAGGTGTTTGTTGCTCCAAGTCTGAGTTTGCAAAACCTAAACAGTTCCAGAAAACTGAAGAAACAGTGCCTTTTTTGGGAAGTAGATCCTCTCTGCTAGCTGTCATATTGTCATGTCATGTACAAAGCATCTTGAGGGACAGGTGGGGTGACCTCTGAACTACAGAAGCCCCAAAGAGTGTATTGGTGAGAAAAAATAAATCTTGATTTTTCCCAAAATTAAATCTTTATAAATGGCAAATTCGAATTAATCGCTTAAATCGATTTATCACCCAGCCCTATGTCTAATATACAACTACGTGTGAAGATCTGAACTAACCTGGAGACGCTGGTCCTCCATAGCTGCTCTCCAAGGAGAGTCCTGAATCAGAGTCCAAGTCCTCAAGGCCCTGCGAGTCTACGCAGCCCAGAGAGTTCATCAGCTGATTGTCAATAGAGTCCAGGCCTTCCAAACCCAGCTGATTGATCTGGTCAAACACGGCCTCATCCAGACAGCCGCCCAACAAACTCTGCGACGAGGCATTTCCCGTTAAATTACACACCGAGGCAAAAGGGAGTGCTGCGAGGCCCACGGCCATCCCTGGTGATGCATCCGAAAGCGTGGAGTTCAGCAATTCCAGCCGTAGGAGGGTTCTTCGCTGTTGGGCGACAGTCCTGGATTCAGATCTTCCGGACCCAGCGCCAAATGCCCCGGCACTGCTTACTGTAGCATCGTGCAAACTAACATCCTGGCTGATGGCGCTGGTGATGTCAGCATCAAGCTCTGACAGGTTAACAAGCGAGTCCAGCTCCTGCACAAGAATCAGTATATTTTAGATGGTATTCATTCCTCATAGCTTTGAAAATTAATTTCCACAAAAAAAAAAAAAAAACACTTTGGTATCCCAACCTAAGTTTTTAACTGCCATTTTACATGCCGATTAAAATGTCAAACAAGTCCAAAAACTTACGTCAAAGTCTGTAACGGAGAGTAAATTGCTCCAGTCGACAACAGTGGAAGAAGGAGGAGAAGCATAACGATGCTCTAGGTCAGATAATATAGGGTTACCATCAAACAGGCTCTGGAAAATAAGACAAAAAATAATGTCAACTATTGATTTTTTTTTGTCAAAAATGCAGATGACATAATGCATTGCCTCTTCTTTTTCAAACACTTGGATGCTTGGATCAGTTAGGTCCAGTTGTTGAATTTTGAGAAGAACACGTTTTCCTATTCTACACGTACAGTATCATGTGGCAAGAAACTGGTGGGTGAATGGAAGATATGGACATCAAACAGGTCAGTTTACTTCCTCCTGAACTAATACAACAAAGTCATGTTATTGAGCCATGTACAGAATGYGGTTTGGTATGCACATATTGGAACAGACAGTTTTCTAAAGAATATTTATTTTAAACTGCTGTAAATGTTGCAACATAATCATTACATAATGTTCTGGTGCCTTCATCATAATGCACAAGAGAGTTTTCACGTGACATCGACAAACCGGAAGTTGACCATAATGGCAGCGTCACAGGTTTAAACAGAAGCTTGTTCCTTATCAGTGGTACTATATTTTAGGGTGCATTCAGACCAGGAAAGTCCTTTGGTCCAATTGTTTGGTCCGGACCAAA